AGGATCTGAACGTCAGTACTTCCTCCTCCGTCTGTTCTTTTATAGCAGGGACTGGATATCCTGCCAACTACCAAGGTCCCCTCATGGATAAGATTAATCCAATTCGTTCCCAAATGTCCAGCCTGTGCTTCAGATATACCTGGAAGACCTTGGCTTAAACAAACATCTCTGTCTCACTTACAGTTGGCCAGTTTTTCAGACACCTGAAGAGTCCAGGCGGTGATGGTCTCCAAATTTCCAAATGATAAAAAAATTTCAGCTAAAATAGTAACTGTATCCTTAATGTAAACCCAAACGGAATGACCTTCAGTTTGCTGATGCACCGAGTATCAGAAACAATTGCTATTTTTCAAATAAATTATATTTTTTCATCCTTTGTTGCATATCAATACTGCTGATCTCCTGCAGCCTCATTGAAGCCACTGTCTGCCTATTGTAGGCCATAGATGGGTCGAACATCGGCCAATTAAAAAAAAAAAAAAAATCGGTTGTTCAATTGGCCGATGTTACCACCAACGTTAAAAAAATTGGCCGATTTTTGACCCGTCTATGGCTGGCATTAGACAAAATCAGGGGAGCACACCATACAATGTGACAGCAATACAAATACATTATTTGGATTACAATGTTTTTATTTGGATACATTTGTTGCAACCGCAAGACTTTTTCATATAAAATATAACAGTGGACTGGACCTCCAGTTTGTAGGAAGGATTCAGGTGTCTCCTATTCCTATGATCGATTCACTTTAGTAGAATAAAAAAATTTTCTTCTTCTTCTTCCTTTTTTTCCTCCTCTTCTGCTTCTTCTTCCTCCTCTGCTTCTTCTTCTTCTTCTTCTTCTTCCTCCTCCTCCTCCTCTTCTTCATCTTCCTCCTCTTCTTCTTCTTCTTCTTCCTCCTTCTCTTCTTCTTCTTCTTCCTCCTTCTCTTCTTCTTCTTCTTCCTCCTTCTCTTCTTCTTCTTCTTCCTCCTTCTCTTCTTCTTCTTCTTCCTCCTTCTTTTCCTTCCTCTGCTCTGCTTCTTCTTCTTCTTCTTCCTCCTCCTCTGCTTCTTCTCTCTTCTTCCTCCTCTGCTTCTTTTTTCTTCCTCCTTCTCCTCTTCCTTTTCTTCCTCCTCTTCTTCATCTTCCTCCTCTTTTCCTCCTCTTCTTCTTCCTCCTCTTCTTCTTCCTCCTTCTCCTCTTCTTCTTCCTCCTCTGCTTCTTCTTCCTCCTTCTCCTCTTCCTCTTCTTCCTCCTCTTCCTCCTCTTCTTCCTCCTTTTTTCTTCTTCTTCCTCCTCTGCTTCTTCTTCCTCCTCCTCTTCTTCTTCTTCCTCCTTCTCCTCTTCCTCTTCTTCCTCCTCTTCTTCATCTTCCTCCTCTTCTTCTTCTTCCTCCTCTGCTTCTTCTTCCTCCTTCTCCTCTTCCTCTTCTTCTTCTTCCTCCTCCTCCTCTTCTTCTTCTTCTTCCTCCTTCTCCTCTTCTTCCTCCTCTTCTTCATCTTCCTCTTCTTCTTCCTCCTCTTCTTCTTCTTCCTCCTTCTCCTCTTCCTCTTCTTCTTCCTCCTCTTCTTCCTCCTCTTCTTCCTCTTCCTCCTCTTCTTCCTCCTCTTCTTCCCTGAACAAGGACCTTCATGGTAATAGACATGGAAGGAATGCCTCATTCTGCTAGATATCCATCCGGGGCCATCATCTGTGATGTGCTGATGGCCAGAAGGTCTTCCTTAGGGGAGCCAGATGCGGACTTTCCACACTTATTATAATAATGTGTTTTTTGACCACCTTAACACTTTTGTTGAGCGAGAACTTCACTTATTTCATCTACACGAGGTGACAGAGCCTAAGTTCCGGTCTACAGCGACATCTGCCACAGCACATCCATGCTGATCAGTGTGCTTACAGTGAAGCACCCCCCCCCCCCCCTGCCCCTTAGTAAAACACTCCCCACACACAGTTAACCCTTTGATCGCCCCTCACATTAACCCCTTCCTGCCCAGTGTCATTAGTACAGTGTCAGTGCTGTTTTTTTTAGCACTAATCACTATATTGGTGTCACTGGGGATGTCAATGACACCAAGTCAGTTCCCCCCAGTGTCAGAATGCCTGCTGCAGTCCCGCTATAAGTCGCTGATCACCGCCATTACTAGTAAAAAAAAAAAATCCCAGTATATATATACTGCCATTTGTAAACGCTATAACTTTCATGTAAACCAATTATTCACACATTGAAATTATTTTTTAGCAAACACGTCGCAGAATACATTTTGGCCTAAATTTATGACTAAATTGGATTTTTTTTTTTATGGACATGTTTTATAGAAAAAAGTCAAAAATATTATTTTTTTTTTTCAAAATTGTCAGTCTTTTTTTGTTTATAGCGTAAAAAACAAAAGGGCGCACAGGTGATCAAATACCACCGAAAGAAAGCTCTATTTGTGGGAAAAAAGGACTTAAATTTCATTTGGGTGCAGCATTGCATGACCGTGCAATTGTCAGGTAAAGAAAACGCAGCACCATATCACAACAAAAAAAAATGGCCCGGTCAGGAAGGGGGTGGGGGGGGGGAATTAAATTTGATTTTTTAAATTTTTCTTTTTGGACATGTTTTATAGTAAAAGTCAAAAATATTGTTTTTGTTTTACAAAATTGTCAGTCTTTTTTTGTTTATAGCGTAGAAAAAAAAAAAGCGCACAGGTGATCAATTACTACTGAAAGAAAGCCTTACTTGTGGGAAAAAAAAGGACGTAAACTTCATTTGGGTGCAGCGTTGCATGACTGTGCAATTGTCAGTTAAAGTAACGCAGCGCCGTATTGTACAAAATGGCCCAGTCAGGAAGGAAGGGAATTAAATTTTTTTTTTTAATTTTTGGGCATGTTGTATAGAAAAATATTAGAAAAAGTCAAAAATATTGTTTTTGTTTTCAAAATTGTCAATCTTTTTTTTGTTTATAGCGTAAAAAATAAAAGGCGCACATGCGATCAAATACCACCGAAAGAAAGCTCTATTTGAGGGAAAAAAGGATGTAAATTTCATTTGGGTGCAGCGTTTGCATGACCGCGCAATTGTCAGTTAAAGTAATGCAGCGCTGAATCGTACAAAATGGCCTGGTCAGGAAGGGGGGGGGGGGAATTAAATTTTATTTTTTTTTTAATTTTTGGACATGTTTTATAGAAAAAGTCAAAAAATATTGTTTTTGTTTTCAAAATTGTCACACTTTTTTTGTTTATAGCGTAGAAAAATAAAAGCACACAGGCGATCAAATACCACCGAAAGAAAGCTTTACTTGTGGGGAAAAAAATACGTAAATTTAATTTGGGTGCAGCGTTACATGACCGCGCAATTGTCAGTTAAAGTGCCGTATCGCAAAAAATGGCCTGGTCAGGAGGGGGGGGGGGATGAAATTTTATTTTATTTTTTAAAACTTTTTAGACGTTTTATAGAAAAAGTAAAAAAATATTGTTTTTTTTTTTTTTTTTCAAAATTGTCTGTCTTTTTTTGTTTATAGCGTAAAAAATAAAAGGCGCACAGGCGATCAAAAACCACCAAAAGAAAGCTCTATTTGAGGGAAAAAGGACGTAAATTTCATTTGGGTGCAGCATTGCATGACCGCGCAATTCAGTTAAAATAATGCAGCGCTGAATCATACAAAATGGCCTGGTCAGGAAGGGGGGGGGGGATTAATTTTTTTTTTTTTTTTTAATTTTTGGACATTTTTTATAGAAAAAGTAAAAAAATATTGTTTTTGTTTTCAAAAAGTCAGTTTTTTTGTTTTAAAAAAATAAAAAGGCACACAGGCGATCAAATACCACTGAAAGAAAGCTCTATTTGTGGGAAAAAAAGGACGTAAATGTCATTTGGGTGCAGCCTTGCATGACCGCGCAATTGTCAGTTAAAAATAATGCAGCGCTGAATCGTACAAAAATGGCCTGGTCAGGAAGGGGGGGAGGGGGGGGGAATTAAATTGTATTAAAAATTGTTTTTAATTTTTGGACATTTTTTATAGAAAAAGTAAAAAATATTGGTTTTTTTTTTTCAAAATTGTCGGTCTTTTTTTGTTTATAGCGTAAAAAAGTAAAAAGTAAAAGGCGCACAGGTGATCAAATACCACCGAAAGAATGACCGTGCAATTGTCAGTTAAAGTAACGCAGCGCTGTATTGTACAAAATGGCCCAGTCAGGAAGGAGGGGAATAAATTTTTTTTTTTTTAATTTTTGGGCATGTTATATAGAAAAAGTAAAAAATATTGTTTTTGTTTTCAAAATTGTCACTCTTTTTTTGTTTATAGCGTAGAAAATAAAAAGCGCACAGGCGATCAAATACCACCGAAAGAAAGCTTTACTTGTGGGAAAAAAAATACGTAAATTTAATTTGGGTGCAGCGTTGCATGACCCGCGCAATTGTCAGGTAAAGTAACGCAGCGCCGTATCGCAAAAAATGGCCTGGTCAGGAAGGGGGGGGGGGGAGATCCTTTGGAGGGCGAGCGGATTGAATGTACTTTCCCTTTAATGACACATTACTCTTCTCGGTAAAATTCAAAGTGCATTTCCTGCTGCGGTCTCACGCTGTCGGCCCAGAGGAGGAAGAAGGGACCAGAAATGGAGTCGTTCAGAGGCTGAGTGCAGCGACGCTCAGAAGACACATCACACTCAGCGACTGCAGGCGGTTTTCTGTCCCGGCCAGGGGCTGCAGAACTTTCTGTTTTGTTTTCCATTCTATGAAATGAAACAAGTAAAATCTGGAACACTCCGATAAAAAATCCCCCCCCCCCCCCCCCCCCCCCGGAATCTAACAAACACTCATCACCGCGTTCCCCTCTGGGTTTCCCCTGCAAACCGGATCCAGGGGGGCTTTTCGCTCTTTAGTTCATTTACGGGAGATTTAGATTCACGTCCTCAGAACGTCGTCCACGTCAGGGGTGCTTTATAAAGCCTCCTACAGAATTTTCCTGCTGCAGATAAAAGATGCAAAGATTTTCCAGTTGGGAATACTCAATTGGGATGGATAGTTAAGGAGCCTTGGCCATGTTGTACGGCAGGTCTGGGGGTCATTGGCTGCAGGGGGTTTTGGGTTTGCTGGGTACGGTCGCTCTGATGGTGTCGGTCCTCACCTCTCAGTGGTACAATGGTAAAGGATTGTGGGACGAAGTGGCAGATAAAGCAAAAGCCACCAATCAGACTTCACTTCTACAACACAACCGAGGTAAGCGAAACAGGCAAAACCTTTAATTAAACAGATTAACATTTACATTATTTATTATTTATTTCAGGTACTTATATATCGCCATCAATGTATGCAGCACTTTTACATATATATTGTACATTCACATCAGTCCCTAACCCTCAAGGGGAGTACAATCTAAGGTCCCTAACCCTCAAGGGGCGTACAATCTAAGGTCCCTAACCCTCCAGGGGCGTACAATCTAAGGTCCCTAACCCTCCAGGGGCGTACAATCTAAGGTCCCTAACCCTCCAGGGGCGTACAATCTAAGGTCCCTAACCCTCCAGGGGCGTACAATCTAAGGTCCCTAACCCTCCAGGGGCGTACAATCTAAGGTCCCTAACCCTCCAGGGGCGTACAATCTAAGGTCCCTAACCCTCAAGGGGCGTACAATCTAAGGTCCCTAACCCTCCAGGGGCGTACAATCTAAGGTCCCTAACCCTCCAGGGGCGTACAATCTAAGGTCCCTAACCCTCAAGGGGCGTACAATCTAAGGTCCCTAACCCTCCAGGGGCGTACAATCTAAGGTCCCTAACCCTCCAGGGGCGTACAATCTAAGGTCCCTTACTCACATTCATACATACACATACTAGGGACAGTTTAGACATTTACATTGAAATCTTTTTTTTTTCTTACTATTGTGGGTGATTTCAGCAATATTTTATATAATCTAATTCAGTGTTTCTCACCCAGACTGGTGCTGCACCTTGGGGTTGGCTTCTGGACTTGTCAGGGGCGTCTCTACATCCCTTATTTATCCATGGTGCAGACTGGCCAGCTGAGGACTCTAATGTGAAAGTGGGGGTCTGAGGTCTCTCCTGTGAACATGGGGGAGGGGCTAAGGACTCTTCATTAAATGTGGGGGGCTAAGGACTCTCCTGTAAAAATGGGGGGCTGATGACTCATGTTAGCATGGGGGGCTGAGAACTCTCCTGTGAAAGTGGGGGGCTGAGGACTCTTGTGAAAGTGGGGGGGTGAGGACTCTCGTGAAAGTGGGGGGCTGAGGACTCTCATGTAAAAGTGGGGGGCTGAGGACTCATGTGAAAGTGGGGGACTGAGGACTGTCATGTGAAAGTGGGGGTGTGAGGTCTCTCCTGTGAACATGGGGGAGGGGCTAAGGACTCCATTAAATGTGGGGGGCTGAGGACTCTCCTGTGAAAATGGGTGGCTGGTGACTCATGTTAGCATGGGGGGCTGAGGATGCTCATGTGAAAGTGGGGGACTAAGAACTCTCCTGTGAAAGTGGGAGGCTGAGGACTCTCCTGTGAAAGTTGGGGGCTGAGGTCTCTCCTGTGAACATGGGGGAGGGGCTAAGGACTCTTCATTAAATGTGGGGGGGCTAAGGACTCTCCTGTAAAAATGGGGGGCTGATGACTCATGTTAGCATGGGGGGCTGAGAACTCTCCTGTGAAAGTGGGGGGCTGAGGACTCTTGTGAAAGTGGGGGGGTGAGGACTCTCGTGAAAGTGGGGGGCTGAGGACTCTCATGTAAAAGTGGGGGGCTGAGGACTCTCATGTAAAAGTGGGGGACTGAGGACTGTCATGTGAAAGTGGGGGTGTGAGGTCTCTCCTGTGAACATGGGGGAGGGGCTAAGGACTCCATTAAATGTGGGGGGCTGAGGACTCTCCTCTCCTGTGAAAATGGGTGGCTGGTGACTCATGTTAGCATGGGGGGCTGAGGATGCTCATGTGAAAGTGGGGGACTAAGAACTCTCCTGTGAAAGTGGGAGGCTGAGGACTCTCCTGTGAAAGTTGGGGGCTGAGGACTCTCCTGTGAAAGTTGGGGGCTGAGGACAGTCATGTGAAAGTGGGGTGTTGAGGACTCTAATATGAAAGTGGGGGGCCAAGGACTCTCATGTTAAAGTGGGGGGATGGAGGACTGTCATGTGAAAGTGGGGGCTGAGGACTCTCCTGTTAGCTTGGGGGGAATGAGGACTCTCCTGTGAAAGTGTGTGTGTGGGGTGGGGGGGGGGGGGGTGGGTGAGGACTCTCTTGTAAAAGTGGGGGCCTGAGGACTTTTCTGCGAAAGTGGGGGGCTGAGGACTCTCCTGTGAAAGTAGGGGGTTGAGGATTCTTCTGTGAAAGTTGATGATGTTCATGTGAAAGTGGGGGCCCAAGGACTCTCATGTTAAAGTGGGGGGCTGAGGACTCTCCTGTGAACTTGGGGGCCTGAGGACTCTCCTGTGAAAGTGGGGGACTGAGGACTCATGTGAAAGGGGGGGCTGAGGAATCTGATGTGAACTTGGGGGACTGAGGACTCTCCTGTGAAAGTGCATGGGGGCCTAAGGACTCTCCTGTGAAAGTGGGGGGCTGAGGACTCAGTTCAATAAAGGGGAAACTCAGATGGAGACCCTGATGTAAGGGGGCACTCCGATAAGGACCCCGAAGTAAGGGAGCACTCTGATAGGGACCCTAAAGTAAAGGGGCACTCTGATTGGGACACCAGATGTAAGGGAGCATTCTGATAGGGACCCCAAAGTAAGGGAGCACTCTGATGGGGACCCTAATGTAAAAGGGCACTCCGATTGGGACACCGGATATAAAGGAGCACTCCGATGGGAACATCGGATGTAAGGGGCCTCTGATGGGGACCCTAATGTAAAGGGGCACTCTGATAGGGACCCCAAAGTAAGGGAGCACTCTGATTGGGACACCGGATATAAGGGAGCACTCTGATGGGAACATCGGATGTTAGGGGTCTCTGATGGGGACCTGAATGTAAAGGGGCACTCTGACTGTTACACAGGATGTAAGGGGACTCTGCTGGGGACATCTGATGTAAGGGGGCACTTTGGTAGGGATCACTAATGGGGACAATCTTCTTTGGGGCCGCACCGGTTTCTATAGTCCATGCACTACTTTTGGTGCGATTTGCATAGACACCTGTGTCAGACGTCTTGCAAATCGCACCTCAAATCAGGACATCCCGACTTTGAAAACATGCGATTTAGAGTGAAGTCGCACAATCTCAAAGTCAGGATTGGTGTGACTGGGGGGGGAGTAAGGCTGGGTTCACACCTATGCAGTTTGTGTTTGATCCGTTTCTGAAGTGCGTTTTGCATTTTTGCTGTTTTTTTTTACTTGTTGCTGGGCAGATTAAAACGCATCAAAAAACACACTCCATGCTTTTCTGCAGCCTCTCCATTGACATCTATAGAACCAAAAACGGCAACTTTTTTGAGTTTATAAAAGTCCCTGACACTCGCCAAAAAAACACACCGGGTGAAAACGCAGAGATGTGAACCTGTCCCATAGGAAATCATGTTGAATGGATCGCTGTGCGTTTCTGCAAAACGCAGCGTAAAACGTATAGGTGTGAACCTAGATTCATACAGGAGGTGTGTCGCTGGCTGGATCACCAGGTGAAAACAGAGGGAGAAAAAAGCCTAAAAAAAAGAAAACTAATGCAGCCATCACATCTAATGATTGGGAAGCTGCAATATGGGACATTTTTGGGTTCAGTACCGCAGTAGGAAATGCACAATATATACAGTATATATGACTTTTCTTTTCTTGTGACAGTTCATGGAGCTCAGAGGTTCTTCGCTGGATTATCCTTCATCATGGCTGCTGCTGGCTCCTGCATCTGCTTGGTATACTTGTTTTGTCTGAGACCCCCAAGACACCCCCATCACACCCTCCGGATGCCCAATCCAGGAAGCCTCCTTCTGGCCGTGCTTCCTTCGACGGGTGAGCAGAACCGCTCGATTACTCTCTGTGGGCTAGCAGTCTAGATCTTCATCTAGAACCAGGGGCGGACTGACCATTTGGAAACTCGGGCACTGCCAGGGGGCCCGGGGTCAGTAGGGGGCCCCATGAGATGCCCCTGGTACCTTTTTCATAGGCTTTTTTGAGTTTGGGCAAGGACACAGGGGCCCCATGATCCCCTATTGCCCAGGGGCCCCATGAGTTGTCAGTCTGCCCCTGTCTAGAACCGATACCACATACGCCGCCATTGTTGTGCGTTTTGTGAGATATTATTTTAGAAAAAAAAAAGCTTTATTAGGGCTCAGGGGCAGACTGACAACTCATGGGGCCCCCGGGCAATAGGGGATCATGGGGCATCTGCGTTCTTTCCCAAACTCAAAAAAGCTTATGAAAAAGGTACCAGGGGCATCTCATGGGGCCCTCTACTGACCCCGGGCCCTCGGGCACTGCCTGAGTTTCCAAATGGTCAGTCCGCCTCTGTTAGGGCTCATTCACACATGCTTTGCTCTTTGAAGAGCAATACGAGTTCAGATCGCTCTTCAGAAAGCATTGGCCAGGCAGTATTGCTTCCTCACTGCCTGGTTTAACCCCTCAAACCCTGCACTAGCGCCCTGCGACTGTGCGCATTGCATGCAGGTGCGGGACTCGTGCAGACGCGGGGTAAAATATCTGCCGCAAACGTAAAGTGCGTTCACATTCTGTGTGTACACCCCTGGCTGATGTCCTAGTTCACGCCACAAAAACTCACTCCAGATCCGTTCCGGACGTTTCTGCACACACATTTGCAAATGCGTTTTTTTGTTGCGTTTTTGATGAGTTCCAAATTTTTTTCTTCTTTTTTTTTCAGTGTGCTGGGGTCCAGTGCGGTTTTGATGCATTTTGCCGCATTGCAATACAGTTCTGTGCAAGAAAAATGCAACCTGTTTTACTTTTGTTTTCTGGAGGTGCAAGCACTGGTGTGAACTATGCCATTGAAAACCATGTAACCTATTTTCTATGCATTTTGGATGCAGAAAAAAAAAAAGGATTGGAATGCATGGGGTGTGAACTGGCCCTTAAAGGTGGTAGCAGGTGGGGGGGGGGGGGGGGGGGGGGGGGGGGAGCATGGCTCAACTGTGAAGCTATTGATGTCTCCAGACACCTTTTCTTTAAAGTATAACTACACTACATCTGAGCACCACAACCTAAAAACATAACGGTACTTGCCTGACTGCATTGTGCCAAGTGTAAAGTGTAGTGGAGGGGGGATTATGGTGTGGGGTTGTTTTTCAGGGGTTGGGCTTGGCCCCCTAGTTCCAGTGAAGGGAACTCTTAAGGCGTCAGCATACCAAGACATTTTGGACAATTTAATGCTCCCATGTTTGTGGGAAGAGTTTGGGGATGGCCCCTTCCTGTTCCAACATGACTGCGCACCAGTGCACAAAGCAAGGTCCATAAAGACATGGAGGAGCCAGTTTGGGGTGGAGGAACTTGACTGTCCTGCACAGAGTCCTGACCTCAACCCCATAGAACACCTTTGGGATGAATTATTTATCTATTTCAGGTACTTATACAGCACCGTCAGTTTACTCGGCACTTTACATATATATTGTACATTCACATCAGTCCCTAACCCTCAAGGGGTGTACAATCTAAGGTCCCTAACTCACATTCATACATACACATACTAGGGACAATGTAGACAGGAGCCAATTAACCTACCAGCATGTCTTTGGAGTGTGGGAGGAAACTGGAGTACAGGAGGAAACCCACGCAGGCACAGGGAGAACATGCAAACTCCAGGCAGAAGGTGCCGTGGCTGGGATTTGAACCAACGACCCGAGTACTGCCAGGCAGAAATGCTAACCGTTTAGCCCAGCTGTTCTCAACCTGGGGGGTCGAACGACCATTTCCCAGGGGTCGCCTAAGACCATCGGAAAACATATTTCCGATGGTCTTAGGAACCGAGACACCGCTGCTGTCTCCGGCGATGTGTGGGCGGGATGATATGCTGCCCCTGTCACCGCCTCCTCGCCGCTGATGGGCCACCGGAACTGTAGCTCAGGAGAGGCACACAGGCGGCCAATCACCGGCGAGAAGGTGGAGCTTGGAGAGGAGGAGCCGAGCGGCAGCGCGCGGAGATCGAAGAAGATTGAGGGAGCTGCAGGAGCGAGTGAAGAGAGAGGCCAGAGAAGGAAGACAGCTGACAGGTAAGTGCAAATTTTGCTGCTGCAGCCAGGTATGCAGGCTGTAGATGGGAGAGGGAGAGAGCGAGCCCAGGCTGGAGCAGGAGTCAGCAAGGTAAGTATCATTGGTGTCAGTGGAAGGGATAGTGCCCCATCATTTGTGTCACTAATACCAACGATGGGGCACTATTCCTCCCCCCACTGACACCAACGATGGGGCACTATTCCTCCCCCCACTGACACCAACGATGGTGCACTATTCCTCCCACTGACACCAACGATGGGGCACTATTCCTCCCCCCACTGACACCAACGATGGGGCACTATACCTCCCCCCACTGACGCCAACGATGAGACAGTATTCCTCCCCTCACTGACGCCAACGATGGGGCACTATTCCTCCCCCCACTGACGCCAACGATGGGGCACTATTCCTCCCCCCACTGACGCCAACGATGGGGCACTATTCCTCCCCCCACTGACGCCAACGATGGGACACTATTCCTCCCCCCCACTGACGCCAACGATGGGACACTATTCATCCCACTGACATCAGTGATGGGGCGCTAGTCCTCCCACTGCAAAATTACAGTTATGAAGTAGCAATGAAAATAATTTTATGGTTGGGGGTCACCACAACATGAGGAACTGTATTAAGGGGTCGCGGCATTAGAAAGGTTGAGAACCACTGATTTAGCCACTGTGCTGCCCAATTAGAGCGGAGACTGTGAGCCAGGTCTCCTCCCCCGACATCAGTGCCTGACCTGACAAATGTGCTTCTGGAAGAATGGTCCAACCTTCCCATAGACACCCTCCTAAACCTTGTGGACGGCCTTCCCAGAAGAGTTGAAGCTGTTGTAGCTGCAAAGGGCGGGGCCAACTCAATATTGAACCCTACGGACTAAGACTGGGAGGGGCCATTAAAGGTCATGTGCGTGGAAAGGGCGGGGCCAACTCAATTTTAAACCCTACAGTCTAAGACTGGGGGGCCATTAAAGGTCATGTGTATGCAAAGGGCGGGGCTAACTTAATATTGAACCCTACGGACTAAGACTGGGAGGCCATTAAAGGTCATGTGCGCGGAAAGGGCGGGGGGGCCAACTCAATATTGAACCCTACGGACTAAGACTGGGATGCCATTAAAGTTCATGTGCGTGGAAAGGGCAGGGCCAACTCAATATTGAACCCTACGGACTAAGACTGGGAGGCTATGAAAGGTCATGTCCGTGGAAAGGGCGGGGCCAACTCAATATTGAACCCTACAGACTAAGACTGGGAGGACATTAAAGGTCGTGTGCGTGGAAAGGCCGCACAACCAATACTTGGCGCAATATAGTGTTTTTTTGGTGGCAGCATAAGGATTAAATGTAGGGAATGTTGATGGAGAGAGGGAGGTTCTGCCTTGAGAAGTGGAGGGGCAAAAAGAACAAGAAAATACATGATCTGAATACTCAGATATGGCGGCTCCAGAGTACGATGGTCCATCAGGTATCCATCAGCTCTCCTGCCATATATCCTGTTACCTGCAGGTCTCTGATTCTGTGAACTTTGGTCTTTATTTGTAGGATTCTTCTTCTCTGTGGCCTGGACCATCTTCACCTGGCAGCACCGGGAGGTGATAACGGCTAACTGGACTAGATTGGGTTTCTCCTACTGGCTGGGGGGTTTAGCATGGACCTCACTGCTTCTCCTTCTTCCCATCCTATACCTGGTGGAGGAATGTGCCATCAGGGCGAGCCACAAACCACTGCTGGTCTGACCGAAGAGACCTCACATGATGGAGCAGCTACAAGTATCAGATGATAGAAACCTTTCTCCTCCCAGTGATGGCCATCAGACAGAACTAAAACTTCTTTGTTACGTATTTATGCCCCTTTTGTATGTGACTACAATAAATCCGTAACTCAGCTGGAAATTGCGAAATGTATGTTTTCCTTTCCCTGGTTCCTCCTCATTATTTATTTCAGGTACTTCTATAGCGCCATCAATGTACGCAGCACTTTACATATATATTGTACATTCACATCAGTCCCTAACCCTCAAGGGGCGTACAATCTAAGGTCCCTAACTCACATTCATACATACTAGGGACAATTGAGACAGGATCCAATTCACCTACCAGCATGTCTTTGGAGTGTGGGAGGAAATCAGAGTACCCAGAAGAAACCCATGCAGGCACAGGGAGAACATGCAAACTCCAGGCAGGTGGTGCCATGGTTGGGATTCGAACCAATGACCCGAATACTGCCAAGCAGAAGTGCTAACCACTTTAGTCACTGTGCTGCCCTCAGCAATAGGTTAGCATCTATATAGGATAAGTGCAGCACTAAATGTAATCCAGACAAATGTATGATGGTAATGTTCATAAAGGGGTTAATAGTCCACAATGAAGGAACTCAAAGGTGATATACTATTCCCACAGTAATAGCTTTTGTAAGACTCGGGGAGGGGCAAGGTATGTATAAAATGCGCACTCACTGGACGCGCAAAGGAAATGCGCAATGTATCAACAAAACGGAGGTCTGCCAGGGGGTCCCTTTCAGGATACGAATAGAATCAGCCCAGGATGGATGAACATCATCTGGATATATACTCTCAAACCGGAGGTACACTTTAAGGACACGGATACAGCCCCTTCAGTACAGTAGAATAGTCACCAGGGGGAGCTCTGGGGGATTAAATGCTCAATACAGAGCAACAGCTGGAAATACCCATAGCATGGTATTGGGCAGCACAGTGGTTAAATGGTTAGCACTTCCGCTTGGCAGTACTCGGGTCGTTGGTTCGAATCCCAACCACGGCAGCACCTGCCTGGAGTTTGCATGTTCTCCCTGTGACTGCGTAGGTTTCCTCTGGGTACTCTGGTTTCCTCCCACAATCCAAAGACATGCTGGTAGGTTAATTGGCTCCTGTCTAAATTGGCCCTAGTATGTGTATGTATGAATGCCTCTGGTCCCTTTTTCATAGGCTTTGAGTTTGGGCAAGGACACAGGAGCCCCATGATCCCCTATTGCCTGGGAACCCCATAAGTTGTCAGTCCACCCCTGGGCCCTACTACCCCAAAATCCCCCCCCCCCCTGTTGAGGGCATGTGGTGTTGACACATTTCCCCCCCCCCCCTTTCCTAGCCTGCCAGGCTGCATGCTCAGATAAGGGTCTAGTGTGGATTGGGGGTGGTGGGGGGGGACGGGACACATCATTTCACCGTTTTTTAAAAAAAAATATTACCATGGGGTTCCCCTTAAAATCCATACTAGCCCCAAAGGGCCTTTTAAATATTGAGGGGGAGACCCCCCCCCCCCCCCATGCTTTTTTTTTTTTCTAACCTATTATTGCTGACAGTTTGTTTACATTCAGCAGTCAGCGGGGCGCCCGTCCCAGATTTGGCTGATGACCCATCTGCTGTTAAAACCGCCGACAGCTGACGCCGCTGCTTAGAGAAACGCGAGAACCCCTGAACCCTGCAAACATGCCGGCAAACATTCTAATATTACCGATTTTTTTATCCAGCGTTTTTCCTAGCGACCTTTGAGGAGCTAAGTGTGTATGGAGCCTCGGCATAAATTGTGATCTACAGCATACTGCAGCACTGACACCGTGGGCTCTGAGCAGAACACTTCCTTGCATTGGACTTCAGAAGCTTCTCACTTAACATGGTTCTAAACCCAAAAGCAAACATTTATTATACTGCAGCATTCGTTTTCTTTTTTTTTTAGGCTTTCTTTCTTATAGTTTCATCAGGTGATCCAGCCAGCAAGTCTGCTGTTTTTCAAAAGAACAAGCTCCCCAGCAGAATGTATCAGTTTACACAGATAAGACAAACCATTTACCACTGACGGGGGTTGCTTACAATAATCAGCTTTTATTTATCTATCTATCCAGTCGTATCTGTCCCTTGGTGATTGCAAGGCCCGTCACTCGCAAGCAACTTCCTCCATGAATTCTCTTAGCAATTATTTTTACAGGGTAGGTTGCTAGGTCTTTCCCCAACCCCCCACCATGCAGGAGATCCCGCATGGCCAGGGATGAAACTAGGAAAATTTGGACAAGAACCAATTAACCTACCAGCATGTCTTTGGAATGTGGGAGGAAACTGGAGTACCCGGAGGAAACCCACGCAAGCATAATAAGAACATGCAAACTCCATGCAGGAGGCACCATGGTCGGGAATTGAACTCATGACCCATTTAGTGCAAGGCAGACATGCTAATCACTAAGCCACTGTACCAGCCTTATTTATTTATGTAAATCCTTTATTCCAAAAAGAAAAAAAAAAAACCATCTGCAGTAACCAATTATAGTATTAGCAGGAGTTTGGCTTCAATGTGTTAGTGTATTTAAATCTGCTAGTCCATCTAATATTCGCTTAGCCCCCCCCCCCCCCCCCCAGACAATGTTGCTGTCCAAAGTTGCCCACTGGGCTCCTTCATCCAGAGTGGGGGCACTCTAATCCAGGAGGTGTGATCACCAGGTGAAAACAGAGGGGGGGGGGAGCCAAAGAAAAGAAAAGAAAATGCAGCCACCACATCTCATGATTGGTAAGCTGCAATATATAAAATTTGTGGTTTAATATCGTGTTATGGATAGCTACGCTGTCCACTGGAGCCCCACCGTGGTCACCCTTACAGACTTGCTGTCACTTGGGAAGGGGAATGTTCATGCTTTGTTATTAACCCCCCCCCCCTCCCCCCGGTGGTATTCCCGAGTGTAGCTCGGGGTAAAGTTTCAGCACCACAAGCGGTAACCCCGAGCTACACTCGGGAATACACTGCAGCGTTGCTCCGGGATCTCTTCTTCACTTACCTTGTCCTGCGCTCCCGCGATGTCCCCCCTGCAGTGTCCCCTGTAATGTCCTCCGGCCGATGCCGGCATCTGTCTTCCGGGTTCCGTTCCCTGCGACGTCGGGACGTACGGGGGATGGAACTGGCGGGCAATTTAAAAATGTGAAAAAGTGACATTCACTAAATACACTAAAATCACATAGTATAACATTCCTGTATCAAACCATTTCACATACATTTTGTCCCGAGTGCTTTGTCCGGCGCCCTGTCTGCATTTTTACTGTTCTTTCTGCCTGGAAACTGAGAAACGTCCATGGCGTCCAAAAAGCGTCCCTTTAGGTCAGACGCGGTTTTAGACCGGCTAGAGAACAGCGATAGTAAATCAGAACCACTTGCAGAATTGAGTGATAATGATTGGTGGGGGAAATTCCTCATCAGACACTGAAAACGATTCTGTGGCTTTGCTCAGCGATGTGCGAACTTGGCGCTATATTTCACATTTCAGTGTTTTTGGTTTGATTATATTATTGAATTAAATTTTATTATATTATTTTTTTTATTAAATTATAATTTATGATTTCGTGTTTCAAATTTTATCCTACCCGGGGATGTTTACTAGACTCTTGTATGGACAGATTTCAGTGAGTTATTCCTAAAAGTTACAGGCCTACAATTAAAAAGAAAAAATACATATTTCCATTGAAAACAATGTAGCGCTTTGAGCACAGAAATATGGACATAATCAGACCGCTAGGGAGGTTAAGGCATGATGGATGAGGGAACATGAAATCCCATTATGAGAGGTCATGTGATGTCTACAGAGTGCGTGCCTCTGCTTAGAATGGGTCACCCACGTGCCTTGTAAGTATTGGGGATGATGGACCAAGCAATCCTGGAAATTAACGTGAAGAAAACCCACGGATGAATCAATATTGTCCAGTCTACAGTAAAATTGTGCGGTTTGAGGAAAAATTTATTTGTCTCAGTGTTAATATACGTAAACCATCACGTTGTAAAAGCAACCCACTCAGATTAAAATGGAAATGAAAAGCAAACTTTTGTGTATAGATAGAAATATATATAAATAAAAAAACAAACCCCCCCCCCCAAAAAAAAAACCCACAAACAAAAACAAAAAAAAAAAAACCCAAAAAAACAAACAAAACCAACCCCCACCCCCCAAACAACCCCCCCCCCCAAACAAACCCCCCCCAAAAAAAAAAAAAACACAAAAAACAAAAAAAAACAAACAAAAACAAAACAAAACAAAAAAACAAAAAACAAACAAACAAAAAAAAAACAAAAAAACAAAAAAACAAACAAAAAAAAAGGTATTTACAAAAAAAAAATGTGGTTCCAAAACCCCCCCACCCCAAAAAATATAAATTTTTTGGGGTGGGGGGGGTTTTGGTTTTCTTTTTTTTAAGTAATCACATGCCCTCTGTTGTCAGCTGCATAAGAGCTGAGGGAGGATAATCAACACACGGATCTACCCAGTAAAGGGCTATGCAGGGATTGGTGTCAGTAAAGTCTGATCACTGGAGGAGAGCAGACAGTTTCCAGCACAGCTAGAGAACTGACCACGCTGTGCTATCATGCCTAGTGTGGTCAGTTTTTAACGAAGCAGCAGAGGGGCTGGCAGGAAAACCAGGAATGTCATACAAAAGGAAGCAATACAAACAGAACAAAATACCTTTTCACACAAGTACATGGTACAGCAGGCACAGATCAGGCATAGGAAATGGTGGGTTTACATATTCTTTAATTTTTTTTAAATAATTGATTGCAGTTCTGCGATCTCACATTTTGTTTGATAGCTTTCAGCTGGTAAGACCGCTTGTTATCTCTTAAAGATCTCTTTTTAAAGGGAATTGATCATCGTATATATATAGGAGTTTTTTTTTTTTTTTAAATACCTAAAATAATGAATGGAAATAATCTTTTGCGTTAAAATCGTATTAAAAACAAAACACACAGCT